TGGTAGCACTGTTTCCAAGAAGCCTGTTTTCAAATCAGGAATTTTTGATTCTTCTGTCTGAATACTATCTTCCCTTCATATGTAATGGTTTTGAAGAGGCCTTTCCTGATCAGCCATCTAAAATGGCCTCAACCTAACCCGCTAACTTCTTGCCCTTCTGTATATTTCTCATTTTTTTCAGTCTAATTGTATTTTGATTATGCATGTATGTTTTTCTTTACAGCACTTCCATCTAGAAGTTATTTTTTTTAATTTACTTACTGTTTTGTTATTATTCTATTCAGAGCTTAGAACAAGTAGGTATACAGTGTGTTGGCTGAGTAAAAGTATCAGTTTCTTTTATTTCCAGTGATTTAATTTTTTAAAAAAATTTATAAATTTTAGTTTCATAGCAAATTTGAGCAAAAATAGAGAGTTCCCACATACTTCACGCTCCCTTCTCCTGACCCTCCCCTATCATCATCCTGCAATGTGTGACATGTTTGTTAAAATTGATGAACCAAAAATGACACATCAGTATCAACCAAAGTCTGTAGTTTACATTAGGGTTCACTTTTGGTGTTTCATAGGTTATGGGTGTGGATAAATGTATAATAGCATGCATCCACCATTATGCTATCATAATAGTTTTCCAATATTCCTTGTGCTCAACCTATTTATCCTTCTCCCTTCACTAGAACTCCTGAGAACACTGATGCTTTTACTGTCTCCACAGTTTTGCCTTTTCCAGAATGTCATATACTTGTAATCCTAAGTATGTACCGATTTTTTGAACCATAAGATGCACCTAGGTTTTAGAAGAGGAAAATAGGGGAAAAATTTTTGAAGCAAAAAATGTGGTAAAATATTTAGTAACATAAATAACATAGGCCACCCCCCACCACAGTGAGCAAGGTAAGCTATATTCGAACTGTAAGACTCACTCCCTTTCCCCCCAAAATTTGGGGGGTGCGTCTTATAGTCTGAAAATATTATAACGTTCTCAACTTGACTTCTTTCACTTAGCAATATGCATTTAAGTTTCTTCTGTATCATTTCATGGCTTAACGGTTCATTCCTTTTTAGCATTGAATAATATTATATTGTCCAAGTGTACCACAGTGTTTACCCATTCACCTCCAAAAGGATATATTGGTTGCTTTCACATTTGGCAGTTATAAATTAAGCTGCTGTCAACATTTTTGTTTAGATTTTGTGTGGGCACACATTTTCAGCTGATTTGAGTAAATACAAAGAACTACGATTGCTGGATTGTATAGTAAGAGTATATTTAGTTTTATAAGAAACTGCTGCCCTGGCTGGCGTAGCTCAGTGGATTGAGCGCGGGCTGGGAACTAAAGTGTCCCAGGTTCGATTCCCAGTCAGGGTACATTCCTGGGTTACAGGCCATAACCCCCAGCAACCACACATTGATGGCACGCGCTCTCTCTCTCTCTCTCTCTCTCTCTCTCTCCCCCCCCCTCCCTCCCCTCTCTAAAGATAAATAAAGTCTTTGGAGAAAAAAAAAAAGAAACTGCTAAATTGTATTTCAAAGGGTAAAATAGTTAACTTTGCTTTCTCATCAACAGTGAATGTAAGTTCCTATTGCTAAACATCCTTACCAGCCATGTGATGCTGTCAAGTGTTTTCAATGTCAGCCATTCTAGTAAGTGTGCAGTGGTATCTCATTGCTTTAATTTTTAATTCCCCACTGATGAATGATGTTAAGCCTCTTTTTGAACGTTTCTTTGCCATCTGTAGTATATGTCATCTTTGGTGAGTTATTTCTTTGGATCTTTTGCTCATTTTTCATTGGGTTGTTCATTTTCTTATTGTTAAGTTTTAAGAGTTCTTTGTATATTTTGAGTAACCATTCTTTATAAAATCAGATATTTCTTCTGAAAATATTTTCTCCCCATCTGTGGTTTATGTCTTGTTCTCTTGATTTCAATGATTTTTATCATGTGTTTCATACAGCATTATTTGATACATGTGTAAGTTCTATACTGCTCAAGATTTTCATTATGATCCTACCTCGTCAATAAAAATTAGTCCTTTAACTTTTTAACCTTGTACTTAATTGTAAATTCCTCTCCATACTTTTATTCACTTATTTACTATCCAACTTTGTTCTTCCATGTTATTTTGTTTTAGTTGTGTCTTTTTTTAATGTGTACTTTATTTTTGTTTTAATCCAAAATGAATGTTAAAACATTTGTATGCATTGCTAAAATAAATTCTGTTGGGTGTATTTCTGTCATTTTATTTAATGCTTACTGTTTTTTAAGGACTGATCAGTACTTAACTGATGTAAAATATACATAACATAAAATTACCATCTTAACCATTTTTAAGTATAGTTTTTTGGCATTAAGCACATTTACATGTTTTACAACCATTATCAACAGCCATCTCCAGGACTTTCTCATCTCTTCCAAGTTAACATCTATACCTATTAAGCACTAACTCCCTATTCCTTCATAATGCAGCCCCTAGTTCTTCCATGTTGTAGCATGAATTACTTACCTCATTTCTTTTTAAGGCTAGATAATATTCCACTGTACGTATATACTACATTTTGTTTATCCAGTTATCTCATGTTTTCTGTTTTATAAATTACTTGGTTTGCTTTTATCTCAAATATTTGTAAATGTATACATCATTCTTAAAGTACATTAATTTATAGTTTAAATGAATGCAAGTATGTATCTAAATTTTTAAAAAGTAAATTTTTCTGATTTGTCAACCAGAAAAAGAAAATTTTATTTTGACTACCCAAATATCTAAGACTTGTTATTTCCCCCACTAACCCATCCTAGGTTTATTTCCCCTTCCCTCTCTATGACCTCAGAAGCTCAGGACCTCAGAAGATTGTTAGTGTACTTTTGGTACATGTCATGCTTTGAACTTCATCTTTTTTCAAGACATCCTGGTAATTACATTCAGTGTTAACATAAATTATTTAGAAGCACTTGAGATCTTGTAACTGTCATAAGTTTGGTTCAAATAAACTCATAAAAATTCTCAAAAAAATTATTTAAACATTATTGAGATGGATTCAGTGCTCATTGCCATTTTTCTCAATCTTAACTCTTTAAATTGATTCATTTACATCAGCTAGCATACACGTTTAGATAATTTTAAAAAAAAAGACTGACTTACTTTTTAGAGAGGGAGAAGGGAGGGAGAAAAAGAGGGTAATATCAATCCGTTGCCTCTCACAGGTGCCCCAACTGGGGATGGAACCCGCAACCCAGGCATGTGACCTGACCAGGAATCAAACTGCCGACCTTTCACTTTGCAGGACAATGACCAACCAACTGAGCCACACCATCACAGCCTAAACACCTCTTGAGTCAACAAGAAAATCAACCTAGAACTACCAATTACTTGTTTGGTGACTATAAGAATATCATTCTTGTAAATTAGAATGCAGCCAAAGCTGTACTTAGAGGTAAATTAACAGCACTAAATGGCTTCATTATTTTTTTTAAAAAATCTAAGAATTTGAATTTTTAAAAAGGTGTAACAAAAATAATGAAAAAAGCATGAAGAGCAAAATAAAGAGAATGGAAATCAGGGAAACCAACAGAATAAATCTCAAAGCTAGTTATAAAAATATAAATCAAGAAAAATAATAAAATCACTAATAAAAGATAGAAATACCGGGTTTTAATAAGAACAAATAATATACATCTATATTAAAAAATTGAAAATTTTAAAATAATGTACCATCTTTGGAAAAAATTATCAAAACTCATGATTAAGATTCTCAAAAGACTATAGAAATAACTGCAGAAGTCCTGTATACTCTTATTAAACTAAATTTCTAGGAGATTCTCTATCCTTTCAATAAATTCTGTACATTGACTAACATGAGTGGGATTTTGGTTCCTCATATGCCTTTGATTACCACCAAATTTATTATACATCCTTATCAGTAGTTAAAAGAAGAAAAACTTTATCATTTCCTAAATAAGTGTTAAAAATCTTTTTGATAAAATTCAGAAGTCATTCCTATGTTTTGTGACACAGGAACAGAAAAAAATAATAAAGAATCTCTCTCTAAAACTAATGGCTGTCATTATTGTTAACTGTAAGAACACCAGAGATATTCCAAGACAATCTATTTTATTTAACCATGTCTTTGAGATTCTGCCCAATGTAATAAAGACATAAAACAGAAATAAAGTACTTCCGGACAAGATGGAGGTATAGGCAGACACACTGTGCCTCCTCGCACAACCAAATTAAGGACAACAATTTAGAAAAAAAAAACAAAACACAACAACAACTAGAACTGACAGAAAATTGAACTGTACGGAAGTCTGACAACCAAGGAATTAGAAGTTAGAAGAGTACATCATCACCAAGCCCTGATTATATGAAATGTTAAAGGGATTTATCTAAGAAAAAAGAAGATAAAAAACATGTATAGTAAAATGACAGCAAACTCACAATTAATAACCACATCTAAAGCAAAACCAAAAGCTAGGCAAACAACTAGAACAGGAGCAGAACCACAGAAATGGAGATCACATGGAGGGTTAGCAACAGGGGAGTGGGAGGAGGAGAGAGGGGGAAAAGGTACAGAGAATAAGCAGCATAAATGGTAGGTAGAAATTAGACAGGGGGAGGGCAAGAACAGTATGGGAAATGGAGAAGTTAAAGAATTTATGACACATGGACATGAACTAAAGGGGGGAATGTGGGTGGGAGAGGTGCGGAGGGGAATGAAGGGGGGAAAATGGGACAACTGTAATAGCATAATCAATAAAATAAAAATAAATAAATATAGTGCTATTGGAAAGAAGGCAAGTTATTATTATTTTCACAGACAGTAAGTCAGGAAAAGAAAATAAAATTTTATTGAAGTCCAGGAAAATAATAAAGATAACAGTAAACACAAATATATATATTGTGTCTATGTACTTTTTGAAATAAAATCAGATTCACATTTCTAGTGATAGTACACATCAAACCTCTCTGAAGGGTCAATTTAAGACTTTTAAATGCCATACCTTTTCAACCAGTAATTCCACTTCTTCAAAAATATTCTAAAGTTGTAATCAGGAATATTCACCACAGCATTGTTTATATAAAATACTGGAAAAATGCCCTGGCTTTGTGGCTCAGTGGATTGTGTGCCCACCTGCGAACCAAAGGGTCACAGCTTCAATTCCCAGTCAGGGCACATGCCTGGGTTGCAGACCAGGTCCCCAAGAGGGGGAACACAAGATGCAACCACCCATTGATATTTCTGTCCCCCTTTTTCCCTCTCTATAAAAATAAATAAAAACCTTTTAAAAAATAAGTTACATATTCAGCAATAGGAAAATAATAAAACTAAGGCACAGCTTTATAACAGTATGTTACGTAAACATTTAAAAATTATTTTAAAAGAGAATTCTTAAGAATAACAAAGAAAAATGTTCAAGATTTAATGTTAAGTAAAAGAGTAAGATAGCAAATTATACAGAATATGATTCCAATTTTATAAAAGCAAACTATGTATATATATATATATACAGAAAAAAAGTCCTAGCAGGTGACATACCAAAATATCAACAGTAGTTATCCATAGGTAATGAAATGAGTATTTAAAAAAAAGTTTAGGAAAAATTTACAACAGAGATACTTTATCAAACATCTGGCTATACTTCTACTATTATATCTGCCAATGTAATGTCTTACTAATAATTTGATCTCTGAAGCAACTGAAACTTTTGTCTAAATACTTTAGCCCATCTCTTAGTGCTTATGTGTTTATTGTATAACAATTTTGCTTCATTCTCAAGTCTGTAAATTACTAAATAATCTTAAAATTAAAACAGAAATTTCTAAAAGCCAAGATATTACATTTTAAAATACACCTTACTCTTATGAAATAAATGCAAACTAAAACCTATCTTTCCAGAGCCTTTTAAACATTTACATAAAGAAGTATAAAAGTATCCTGTACATATATGTATGTATGTGGTTAACTGTTTGTTTTTTAATTTTTAGAGAGAGGGGAGAGACAAAGAAGGAGAGAAGCATCAGTGTGTTGTTGCATCTTGCACGCCCCCTGCTGGGGACCTGGTCTGCAACCCAGGCATGTGCATTGACTGGGAATTAAACTGGCAACCTTCCAGTTTGCAGGCCAGAGCTCATCCACACCAGCCAGGGTCATGCAGATGAGTTTCAACAAACACTACTGAGTATTCTTACACCTCCCTCTTAGATTAATTTAAGCTGGCAAAAACTGAGAAATTCGTTTCCAGATAAATAACTCATGTTTTTAGCACATTACAAATTAAGGTTATAGATCAACATGTTAAGAATATCTTTTTTAAAAAGCTGATTTTAGAGAGAGAGAAAGGAAGAAAAAGAAACACTGATTTGTTGTTCCACTTATTCGTGCATTCATTGGATGCTACTAGTATGTATCCTGACAGGAGATCCAACCCACAACCTTGGTGTATGCTCTAACCAATTGAGATACCTAGCAAGGGCCAAGAATATCAAAATCATAGTGGAAATCAGGCAAGACTCCCAAAGAAAGCTATACTGAGATTTGAAGGATGAGGATAAACTAAGTAGGTGACAAGAGACAGGTCAAAAGGAGTATTTTTTTTTCCTTTTCAGATGTGATGCTTACAGTAAAGCCATTACAATATTACTTTCCGAATCCTTATAATTTGGCTAATTTTCACACTAACCTCAAACTCCTAAAAAATTTTTATATCTATATTTATTTTAGTAGCCAAACTATTTTATATTTTTAAAACTCTCTGCCTTGGCCCTGCGTCTCAGTTGGAGTGCCTTCCAGTACACCAGAGGGTTGTGTGTTCGATTCCGATCAGGGCACATACCTAGGTTGTAGGCTCCATTCCCCTCCCCAGGCGTGTATGGGAGGCAACCCATCAATGATGTTTCTTTCTCTCTCCCTCCCTTCTTCTCTCTCTAACATTAATTTCAGAAACAAAAACATGTTAAAGAGAGAATCTTACGAGCAGAAAGGAGAGAGTTACCTGCAAAGGGGTTCCCATCAGACAGTCAGCTGATTTCTCAAAAGAAACCTTGCAGGCAAGAAGGGACTGGAAAGAAGTATTCAAAAGTCATGAAAGGCAAGGGCCTACAGCCAAGATGACTCTATCCAGCAAAGCTATCATTTAGAATACAAGGGCAGATAAAGTGCTTCCCAGATAAGGTCAAGTTAAAGGAGTTCATCATTACCAAGCCCTTATTATATGAAATGTTAAAGGGACTTATCTAAGAAAAAGACAAAAAATATGAACAGTAAAATGACAACAAATTCCCAACTATCAACTGAACCTAAAAAACCAAAAATAAGAACTAAACAAACAACTAAAACAGGAATAGAATCACAGAAATGGAAATCACATGGAGGTTTATCACAGCGGAGGGAATAGGGGTGGGGGAAGAATGGTACAGGGAATAAGAAGTGTAATTGGTAGGTACAAAATAGACAGGGAAAGAAGAATAGTATAGGAAATGGAGAAGCCAAAGAACCTATAGGTATAACCCATGGACATGTAAAGGGGCGGGGATGCTGGAGGGAAGGGAATGCAGGGCTGAGGGGAATAAAAGGAAGGAAAAAATGGGACAGCTATAATAGCATAATCAAGAAAATGTATTAAATAAATAAATATTTTATAGGAGATTTTTATAGGTATTGGGCAACTGTAATAGCATAATCAATAAAATATACTTTAAAAAATGAAAACCTTGGGAAATTTTTAAAAAAGAAAAAAACATGTCCTCAGGTGAGACTAAGAAAAAAAGAATAAACTCTCTTACTTGCCCTACTCAAGAACAAAAAAATGTCCAGGACTAAGATTAAAATACAACTATTAAAAGTACAAGACAATATAGAGGAATTGTTTTTTGATAAAGGGGAAACGAGACAGTTCTTAAACAGAAGGCAAAGGATTAATATGTACCATGTATAGAGAGCATCTACAATTCAGTAAGTATAGATAGCCTTAAAAAAAAAACCTTTAATTATTTTATAGAGGGAGGGGGAGGAAGGAGGAAAGAGAGAGACAAACATTGATGTGCAAGAAAAAACATCAATCAGCTGCCTCCTACACATCCCCAACTAGGGACCAGCCTGCGCTCAACCAACTGAATCACAGTAGCAACGGTTCGACAGCCTTTTAGGAAGGCTATTTGGCATCTACTGAAATTGAAATGTACATTTAAGAATGTATTAAGAATGTACATTAAGAATGTACATTTTTTTAATGGAAATACTTGCATACATACGCATGTGCACAAAGTTGTAAGAAGTTCATTATGGCTTTAGTTTTAGTTGCTCAAAACTGAAACTAACATAAATGACCACGAGTAATTAAGGTACAACAATACAATGGAATATCCCATGAGTGGTGAAAGATGAGTTTATAACTATCTGTATTGATATGAAAAAGAATGCAAATTAACCAATTTTTAATTTTAAAAAGTAAGGTAAAAAATACACACGGTACTTATTTCTAATTGCATAGATAAAATTAACAGTGCGTACCTCTAAGGAATGGGTCTAGAAAATGAGGAAAGACTAATAATGTTCACTTTTTACTTTAAATAACTAACTTGCTTGAACCTTTTAGAATAAGCATGTTCCTTTTTTCAATTTTAATTTTAAAATAAAAGAAAAAAACACTGACAGTTATCCTTGAGGGCCGAAAATAGAGTTATTTTTGTCCTGTTCCTTAATAATTTTCATTACTTGCCAAATTTTCTATGAGAAATTATGCCTATTTTAAAAATATGAGTAGCCTACATTAAAAAAAAAAAAACAAACCTGTATTTTATTCCAGTGGTGAAACTAATTTTTTTCCCTGAAAAAAATAATTAACAGTTATGGTCTCAGAAACTTGGTCCTGAGATTCCAAGCCTTCTCAGAAAGTAGTCTTAAATCTAAGTTTGGGAGTAGGACATTTGCTGTAGAAGCAATTAAATATAAAACTCATTTTAGAATGGAGTATTAACTAACCTTTATTAACTAACATTTATTTATTAAGCATGCATTTACTAAGTACTTCACCTGCATTATCTCATTGCTCTAAAAAGCCCTATGAAATCTGTATTATATCATTATTACTCTTCCCATTTTACAGATTTAAAAAAAAAAAATCAGGCCTTGAAAAGAATGTATATCTTGGCCAAGATCAAGTAGGAAGAACCACGATTTAAACCCAGGTCCCCAGCTCTTAACCACCTGATACACATGGAATATGTAAGTACTAATGAACCTCAGAGATGATAAACTAAAACTCAAATCCTCATGAGTGTCCAGAATGACTGTTAATTAGGTTAGTGATCCTAAAATGAAGAAGTAGGAAAACTCAATTCTGATCACAGAAGAAAACAATCAGTATTTTTTCAAGATATCAGGAGTTATTTTTTCCTTCTCTTTCTGTTTCTACCAAGGTACAAGAAAGATACAAGGGGACGACTCAGATGTAAAACACCACCTTCTCTCTGATTAGTCGGGAAGTAGGCCTTCGAAAAATTGATCAGAACGCTGAAGCTTTAAACAGGGCCCAGTTTCAAATGTTCATCAAAAGTATAAAATCCAGAAAGCCAAAAGAAACTTTACGCTTATTAGAATAATCAATATTAACAGATTAAACACAGGATTTAATAGTACCTACTTATTTTATCCTTAGTTATTTGAACAAGTTCTGTTTTCAAAAGTATAATTGAAAACTTATCCTCAGCTACCTGAACAAGTTCTCAGTTTTCTCTTTAAAAAAGTATAACTGAAAAAGAAATATACACCATGTTAACCATGTGTACTTGGAAACTGGCCTATCGCAAACATCACAGAAACATAGGAACTCCTATTCATTTGTTCACTAGATATACTCCAACTACAAACTCACTGTAACTTTATGAATTTGGTATTAAATGTCACAAAGTCCAGAAGAAGAACTCTCTCTTTGAATAACTGGTAAACCAAGAATCAAGGCCCTAAGGGAAACACCATACACAGGCACCCTTCCTTTAGTAAAAGTATGCTTATAGAGAGAAGCTGACGTCACAAAGTTTTGAACGCCAACATTCCATACGTTAACACCTCATGCCAACAAGACTTCTCATTAGTTTGAGGACAACTGACAGTACCAAATGATGACAGTACTGAAGCTCAGTACTAAGTCTAAGTAACAATGGAGTGTTTAGTGAAAACACAAAATTCACTAAATTTAGGTTAATATCTTTCACCAAACCCTGAATGTGGGTTTAACATATATTACAGGTCAAAAACATTTTAAGGTTCACTTTTTCACAATGTAAATCAGTGTTCTCTGTAAATCAGATTTAAAAGCCAAGGATTGAAAGAACTGCCTTAAATCAATACCCTAAATAGGAGACCATAAACAAAACTTTTCATTTATATATATGTATAAAACATAAAAGTGAGTATGAGTGTGTTTTACAAATGCCACAGAGCATCTGGAAAAGTTGACAAGTTCTAACCTGCTTTAAAAATCATTATTCACTGCCTTTATTATTCACTGCCTTCATCCCAATCTAACTTCATTTGATGTTATTCTTTTGGATAACCCTACAAAAACAAAACCCCCCAGAGCAAATTCTTGTACATTTCAATATCCTGCCTACTTATAAGAGCGGAAGAGTCGAACTGAGCAGGGGAAAAAACGTGACGTGCGCAACCTTGATCCAAAACACAGCTCGTCGTAGTCTAATTTTAGGCCTAACCATTTTTATTGTCTTTTTACAGGGGTTAAAAAAGAAAACTATAGAGCACTTGTAAAGCAGAACTGAAATAATTATGTCAATGGGAGTTGGCATTATTTATGAAGGAGGAAACAAATCACGCTCAATCCAGAGTATTCCCATTTAAATTAAGATACAAGAAAGAGTACAACCCTATAGCAACTGACATTGGCAATTACTTTTAACACTTCAGTTCTTGCATGAACTTTATCTTTACAGAATTAGTCAAAAGGTTAAGTCCACTGAGAAATTTGTGGGAACGTTGTGTGTGTGTGTGTGTGTGTGTGTGTAAGCGCGCTCTTGTGTGTGTTGTTTTGAAGAAAACCAAACATGGTTAAAAGTCAGTCTACACCTAAATTACCTAAAGAAGCAAATAGTCACCTTCTGGCTGAAGATTAGACAAAAATCACGAAAAGATCCCAAAGTCCCATTCTTAAGGGCAGGCCCTGAAACACTCGGAAAACTATACACTTTCACGAATGTGAAATATGGAAGAGATTAGATTTTAGTTTAGAAATAATACTCGAGACAATATGCCTAAGCAGTAAAACTGGGATGAACAGAGGGGGGGCTAGGGAGGAGGGGCTGGAACTCGGTAGGACAGGAAAAATCCGAGAATAAAACCCGAGACGTCTGGTCGAACGCTGAAGTAAAGGGAGAAAAAGGAGGCTGAAACGCGAGGGAAGGAAGACCAAGAGAGAACAGAGCCTGCGGCGCGACACGGGTCAGGGCAGGGCTGGATCCAGGAAGAGTTAGCCCTTACCGGCCCAGCAAGCTTCCCACTTCGGGCAAAAGCGGAGAAAAAAACAGCCCTAGGGAGCAGACAATGAGCCACCGCCCCAGGACCCGCGGCTTCAGGCACGCAGGTGGCGGCGGCCCCGGCCCTGAGAAGAGGAGGTCCGCTGCCCCGGGCCGCCAGCGCCTGCCAGGCCGCGGAGAAGGAAGAAGGAAGGAGAGCGACGGCCTCGCATCCCGGCCAGCGTGCACACTTACCCCTGGCGAGGAAAGGTCCCCGCCCAGCGAGGTGCCTCCGTCCGAGGTCCCTGCAAGCTGCGGCGCCGCCCGGGCGAGCGCGCGGGGCGGGGTGGGGTGGGGACGGAAGGGGGAGCGGGACGGGAAGACTAGTCGGGCTGCAGCGCAGCCGCCGCTACCGCTAGGCCGAGCAAGCGGACGCCGGGAGGGGAGGGGAGGGAGAGTTCGGCAATGGCGACGGCCCGCGCTGGAGGGGAAGCGGAACAACCGCCGTCCCAGCGCGTGGCCACAACCCTGGGGGAGGGCCAAGGCAAAGAGCGAGGAGGGGCGGAGCCAGGACACCCCCTGCCGGCCTGAAGCCTGGAGCTCCAGGGGGCGGAGATTGACCCTGCCTCCCAATGGGCGGGCGCTGTTGGGGGCCGCTGGGAGTTGTAGTTGGAAATATGAACAACCTTTCTCTTTTTTTTTCCAGGGTGGGGTGAGGTATGCTTTATATTGAGATAGCCAGCCGGTTCCTCATCTAATTCAACTTCGCCTCTCTCAGTTTCGTACCAACCAAAGATGCTGACAGATGACTGCTATCACAAGAATCTGCTCCAGGACATTTGTGGGAATTTATTCATTATCCATTATCCATGTTGCTTTTTACCTACAAACTCTTCTATATTATGCTGCTAAATTAAGTCCTACCTCCTTTCAAATTAAGGCCTCCATGTTTTATCCTCGGAGGAGTTATCAGTGTATCCACTAATACTACAAGTATTTGTCTAATACGTACCAGAAGTCCTCAGAGATATAATGGTGAACACGAGTCACTGTTTATGTAGTTTACAAATATTAAAACACAGTAATAGCCCTGGCTGGTGTGGCTTAGTGGATTAAGTGGCTTCCTGCAAACCAAAGAGTCTGCGGTTCCATTCCCAGTCAGGTCACAAGTCTGGGCTGCAGGCCACTTCCCCAGTAGGGGGAGCATGAGAGGCAACCACAAGTTGATGTTTCCCTCTCTCCCTCCCTTCCCCTCTCTGAGAATAAATGAATAACTATTTTAAATAAATAATACTATATCTGGTATGAGGAGAAACTGGGGAGATTACTTTGGATAGCTTGACCAGAGAAATAATCTTTTCTTTACCCTCACCTGAGGATATGTTTATTGATTTCAGAGAGAGGGGAGAGGGGAGAGAGAAGAAAATCAGTGTGAAAAAGGAACAGCCATTGGTTGCCTCCTGCATATGCAGGACCAGGGATTGAACCTGCAACCTAGGTATGTGGCCTGACATACTAGGAATGGTATGGAATGGGAAACATTTCTGTGCACAGGAGGACTCTCCAATCAACTGAGCAACCTGGCCAGGACCAGAGAAGTCATGTTCAAGGAGGTAACATTTAATCTGATAACAGAGAGCGCTACAAGCAGCACCAGGAAGAAAGTATCTCAAGCAAAAGGGGGAAGAAAAGGCTTGCTAAATTCAGTTAAGGAGGCCTGTGTACCTGAAACTTAGGGAAAGAAGGGTAGTGTAGGATGAAAACACTAGAGTAAACAAGATTCAAGCTAGGAAGGATCTTTGAATGCCATGGTAAGGAATTTGAACTTTATTTCAAAAAATTATTTAAGTAGGGAAGCAATGTTATCTGGATTACACTTCAAGATCACTAGATTTCTATGTGAAGAACAGAGTACAGAGATGCAAGGATAGAAGGGAAATTACCTAGGTAGCCAGTAATCATGACTGATACAAGGGAGATAGCAGTGGAAATAGAGAAAAGTAAACAGATTGCCCTTATTTACAGTGTAGAGCAAAAAACTCAATTGATATGAGGAGGACAAGTTAAAAGGAATCAAAGAGCAACATGGTGCATTATTGGATAACCTTCAAAAACAATCTCATTATGAAAAACATAAAAATGCTAGATAAACTAGAACATCTTTTCAAAGGCATAACTAAGCTTTCAAGAAAGAGAAATACCTCTGATAGTCTTCCAAACTCCACCCTCAGCCCAAAGAGGAAGCAAGAAACCAGAGTAGTAATCAGGACAATGAAGCCATGGTGTATCGAAGCCATGTAAAAGGTATCTACTTATCTCAGAAATCTCTTTTGTTTCACGGATTGCAAAAGAGACAGGACCCCAAAGACAGTGCTAACTCCTTGAGCATGTAGGACTAATTCCCAAGCAATTAGGATTGTGTCCCGGGAAACTCAAAGGGCTATACCCTCCAAAAACAGACTGGGGAAAAAATTGCTGTAGGCATCCAGGGAGACAACATTTCCATGTTTTAGCCTGGACTTGGCAAGGAGGGGGTAACAAATTTCCCTTTAGAATGCATAACCACAAAGTTTCCTTAATATGAGTTGGAAAGTTCAAATTTCCAGTTCCTACACTATACATGAAATCTGAAGTCAAGAAAGTGGTCCCAGGCTGTTAGTACTTAGAGGCCTGGAAGAACAAATACAAACCCTCGCTGCACAGGTTGACTCAACCCAGGTCTGAAAGACTTTCTTTTTTTTTTTTATATATTTTATTGATTATGCTATTACAGTTGTCCCATTTCCCCCGTCTCTCCCCTCCACCCTGTACTCCCTCTCCCACCCACATTCCTCCCCCTTTAGTTCATGTCCATGTGTCATACTTATGAGTTCTTTAGCTTCTACATTTCCCATACTATTCTTGCCCTCCCCCTATCTATTTTCAACCTACAATCTATGCTACTTATTCTCTATACCTTTTCCCCCTCTCTCCTCCTCCCACCCCACTGTTGCTAACCCTCCATGTGACCTCCATTTCTGTGGTTCTGTTCCTGTTCTAGCTGTTTGCTTAGTTTCTTTTGGTTTTGCTTTAGGTGTGGTTGTTAATAATTGTGAGTTTGCTGTCCTTCTACTATACATGTTTTTTCTTTATCTTCTTGTCTTAGATAAGTCCCTTTAACATTTCATAAAATAAGGGCTTGGTGATGATGAACTCCTTTCACTTGACCTTATCTGAGAAGCACTTTATCTGCTCTTCCATTCTAAATGAAAGCTTTGCTGGATAGAGCAATCTGGGATGTAGGTCCTTGTCTTTCATGACTTGGAATATTTCTTTCCAGCCCCTTCTTGCCTGTAAGGTCTCTTTGGAGAAATCAGCTGACAGTCTGATGGGAACTCCTTTGTAGGTTACTGTCCCCTTATCTCTTGCTGCTTCTAGGATTCTCTCCTTCATTTTTACCTTGGCTAATGTAATTATGATGTGCCTTGGTGTGTTTCTTCTTGGGTCCAACTTCTTTGGGACCCTCTGAACTTCCTGGATTTCTTGGAAGACTATTTCTTTTGCCAGATTGGGAAAGTTCTCCTTTATTATTTGTTCAAATACGTGCTCAATTTGTTGCTTTTCCTATTCCCCTTCTGGTACCCCTATAATTCGGATGTTGGAATGTTTTAAGATGTCCTGGAGGTTCCTAAGCTTCTCCTCATTTTTTTGAGTTCTTATTTCATCATGCTTTCCTACTTGGTTGATTCTATCTTCCTTCTAGTCCATTGTATTGTTTTGAGACCCAGTTTCCTTCCCTTCACTATTGGCTCTCTTCCGTGTATCTTCCTGCATCTCTTTTATGGTATCCTGCATCTTTTCATCTAATTTTTGGCCAAAATCAACCAATTCCGTGAGCTTTCTGATCACCAGTGTTTTGAACTGTGCATCTGATAGGTTAACTATTTCTAGGTTGCTCAAAAGGATGAGTTCTAGAGCACTGGTTTGTTCTATTTGAGCCATTGCTCTCTCTCTCTCTTTTTTTTTTTTTGGTCTGGTCGCTCTTGTTACGGTGAGGGGCGGAGCCTTAGGTGTTCACCGGGGCTGGGCACCCCAGTCTCTAGACAGTGACGTTATATGTGGGGGCAGGTGTGGGAGCGGGGACGGGAGGGAACAATGTCGGTAGTTCCGTTCTTCTGGGATCTCAGTCCCTTCTCTGGGATCCTGGGCTGCGAGCTCTGCCCTGGTCCACAATCGCTGCCTCACTGGGTCCGCCAGCCGCAGCTTGCGTACTCAGGGACCACCATTGCGATCTTGCGTGCCGGATGGCTTTCCACTGATTTCGCGCCAAGTTTTCCCCGACCTCCATGTGCTGCCAACCCACGCTGGCCTGGCTCGTCCTCTCAGCCCCGCTTACCAGTATGGATGTACGGGTCAACTTCAACTTCTTGACTTTCCAACCTCCATTCAGATAAATCCTCTATCAGTTCTGAGTGTTATTTTAGCTGTAAATTGTCGTTGTTCTAATCTTGGTTGTAATCTCGCTTCCTCTAAGCGAGTAGGTACGGTGCGTCCACCTATTCCTCCATCTTGCCGGAAGTCTGAAAGACTTTCCACAGATAAAAAGGGTATCAAACCAAAAATATAATTACAATATTCCTAAGGAAAATAAGCCACCATAAGTAAATACAAACCACATCCAGAATAATGAAACTCATGAACTTTTTTTAACTTTTTGAATATATGAACATACTATGTATGTATGTATGTGAATACTGTGTATATTTTTAAAAAGATTTTATTTATTTTTAGAGAGGGGAGGGGAGGGAGACAGGGAGAGAAGCATCAATGTGTGAGAGAAACATTTATTGGTTGCCTCTTGCATGTCCCAAACTGGGGACCTGGCCTGCATGCAATGCAGGCATGTGCCCTGACTGGGAATCAAACCAGTGACCTTTACATTTGCAGGCCTCGCTCAGTCCACTAAGCCACACAGCCACGGTGCCCATGAACTTTAGATATTACAATTGTTATTTATAGAATAAAATAAGTTTAATAAAATGATTAAACTAAGTAAGACATGAACATGAAACAACAATCTTTTAAATTATATTTTATTGATTATGCTATTACAGTTGTCCTGATTTTTTCCCCCTTTGCCACCCTCCACTTAGTGCCCCCTACTCCCCAAGCAGTCCCCCCACCATTGTTCATGTCCATGGGTCATATATATAAGTTCTTTGGCTACTCCATTTCCTATACTGTATTTTATATCCCTGTTGGGAGCTACCCTGCCTGGTTTCAGGAGCTATAATCCCCCCATGGCTAAGGCTGAGTGAGAGACCTTCAGACCAGAAGCCACTAAGGAGACAAAGCTTATCTCCCTGTCAGGAACACCACTTCTGCTCCTTTTTCCATAACTGGGCCCCAAAGCTTGATCAGTTAGCCAATGACAAGTAAGATTCCCCAAGGGGGGAATAATCTAAGACAGGCATGATCACGTGGAGGCCCCAGGGCAGGACTTGGGGGGCTATGGAGAAAGGGGGTGTT